AAGAGGATTAGGAACAGAACATCCACTGCAGAGAGACTTTGCTGGGTGTACCATTAGAAAAGGGAATAGAAACAAAAGGAAAACAAGTAGAAGAGCTATGAGGTACGGCTGCTTTAGTAGAAGACAGGAACTACAACCAGGTTGACTAAAACCAGTAGCAAAGGGAACTCTAGTTCATTAAACTGAACACAGGAGAATGACTTTTCCCTCTAAACTAGACATTACCCTTTATGACTAAACTATATCCGGAAACACATTTAGAAGAATAAAATTCAACTTGTGATGAAAATCTCAAAAAGGAAAACAAGCACAACCAAAGAACTCAGAAACAGGAACTATGTAAGAACCGGATATGGTGACACAAACCAAAGGACCTAGGCATTTATAAAAAACACAGCAAATCAAAGGCACACCACCAAAAATGTAACGGCAAGATGCTAGGCGCAATAAGGTCAGACCTGTTCTCTATAGCTGTGTCCGCACTCCCATTGGGGACATAGGCACAGAATGTCTAAGTTGGATTCCAGCAGTGGTAAGATAAGGAATTAACCCCATATTCCCTCCTTGGTCAGACTGTAAGATTTTGAGTTTAAACCAAGTTGTCTTTCAACTAAAGGTGAAATTTGATAAAGGGGACCGAACTTCAGCTTGTTTCTTAAGGGAACACCAGGTAAACCTACTGTATCATCAATGAAAGGAATGAATATGGAACCTTCAAGAAGCACTGGTGCTGGTCCCCAATGTCACAGAAACTATTCAAGTGGCTGGAAGCTACGAGGAACAGGAAGGAGGTCTATGTATTTCTCTAATTGCAGCATCACAAACAGATAGTAGACTGTCGAAGGTCGGAGGAATGGAAGTACAAATACATCGTATGTGGGTGTCCTAACGATGTGCCAAGGGACAGGCATTGTTCCTATTATACAGCCTGAAAACTGGGCTGGAATGGTGAACAAGAAGAGCTTTTGCATAGCATAATTTCAGTATCATTCAACATAGATCAGATTGCGCATTAACATCAATCATAGAATTTCATTATCTTTCAACATAGATGTGAATGTGCATTAGTAACCACAGAAGCAACATGCAAGACAGAATCAGAATTAGTTTTGTTCGACTAGAATAATTATCAAGGTCAAGTATTATCAGAGATTCTGCCAGAATTATCAACCAATCAGAATGTATTATTATATTACGCAATTATCGAAACATCAGAAATAGCAGCAGTAGAACAAAACATATCAGACTCAGAATTATCAGGATTTAAACCAGAGTGTTCTAAACATTGTGTTTTATTAATGAAGTCAGGAGTCAATCATTTGCATATGAATATGACTTTGAGTGTTACAAATAATTGTGAACTTGCATCCTATGAGTTATTAACACTAGCATTCATTGGACTGCTAATCAGTTTATTACACTTGACATTAGCATCTTGAAAGTTATCCAGAGAACTAATAGACTGGGCAACCTATGACTATACTGATTAGTCATACCTACTGGCTATTTGAAGACAATGTTGACAAAACCTAGAACTCAAAGCAGTTAACTTTTCTAGACCACCAGAAGTGAACCGAGGAGAAGCGAAGGTATGTGCAATTGTACGACCAGCCAAGTCCTCCCTGCGTAACACTGCCGGTAGCCTTGTCCTAACAAACAACAATCAGAGTCAAATTCCACAGTTCATTATTTCTTTAGGTGAATCTAGAATACTAAGAAGATTAGTATCTAGGAACACACACAACATACGCATAGTAAACACAGATGTAAAGGAATTGACTAAAGTGGACCATATGAAGATATGGGAAGACCACCGACCAACCTGAGTGCCACCCCATCAAGGGCTGCTGGAAAGAGGAGAGCAGGAGTACATGGCAGCTCCGAGTCCAGTACCAGGCTGAGCAACGACAGTAACTGGAACAGTCAGTGTGGAGGAAATGGTTGGGGAAGGTGTGGTGGAACAAGAAAGCGGGAGCTGGGTTGGAGTTATTGGGGGAGGTTTTGGCTGACAGGACAGAACACTTGCTGTGTGATGAGAAAAATGGTGGCCTGCAGATGGATGTTGTGTTGACTGTGACTAAGTGGAAAGGATGAGATGAGGGATCAAGGTCCGTAGTGGACCAACACGATCTGACTCCAGAATGGAACTATGGTCTGGCTATTATAACTGCTGTATTTCCAATCGGTGCCAAAATCCTAAACTGGACTAACCACCTGTCCTGACATGTGCTTTGAGGAGGTACACCATGTAGTAGAATTGTAGCGGTGAAACAGTGAGCCGCTATATGGCCGATCTTACTGCAAACTTGACAAATAGGCTTGCCTCTGCCATTGTTTCTTCCTCTGCCTCTCCCAAAAAACAGGTATGTATGAGGAGTAATAAGGGCTTGAATTTCCACAAATTTCCAAAGTTTGATCCAGATCATTCAAACTAAACTGAGGATAACTTGAGAACCTATGGAGGATTAGTTAAGCCTTGCAGTTGAGACTGATTATTCGTGATCAAATTAGAAGTACCAATAGGTGCAGAGGAAACCTTAGCATTGATAGGCACTGAATTTTTTCCACCATTGAATTTTCAAGAGAAGCAACATTGACCGAACCACCAGGAAACTCCACAGAATTAACCTATCAGCCGCAACTCAATTTTTGCAACAAAAACTGAGCCTCTTGCAAAGTAACCAAATCAACCTTAGATTCTACTCTGGAGGTCAGATTGACAACAACTGCGTCAAATTCTGGACCTAAACCATCTAAAATATGTTGAAAAGAATCTTCATCTGAAATCCTTGACCACTCGCAGACAGGCTTTCAGCATGCCTTTCTTTTCTTAACGTAATCATGAATATTCAAATTGCCTTTTTGAGTTATCTGAAGCAAATTCTTCAAATGTAAGGCTCTGGCCTTTGACTCATTACAAAATCAGCTTCTAGCTTAAACCATACTTCAGACACAAACTGACATTTTGCACAAGAGTGAACATCCACTCAGAAATTGAGGCAAGAAGCCAGTGACAAGAAACTTGTCAGTTCGTTTCCAGTTTACATAAGCTGGATTAAGCTTTTCGTTATCTAGGGTTTCAGATGCTTTACTATCACTCAACTCAATTGAACAAGAACAGAGCTAATAAAGGAGCTGGATAGGATTAAACCTGTCAAGTGTTCTCGAGTTCATGAGCTCCTACAGCGAAGAGGACTTGCGATCGCCAGAATCGGTAATTACAGTGTAGCTATCTCTCGTCAGTTTGGGACGACAACCTGAAGACTTGACAAAAATTGAGAGCTGAGATTAGCTGAAACGTTTTGCATTTTCTCCTGAAGCTGAAAGAGAAAGAAAAAATTAATTTCTCAGATCGTTGCCGTCGACGCTTGTCTCAGGCTCTGATACCATGTGAAACTGAAAAACTAAAAGAGAGAAAATTGAAAAATGCATTAACTTTTCTTATTATTCTCAGAGAAATACATTTTTTTATATACAGAGGAGAGAGAAGAAACTGATGTTAAGAATAAACTCAGCTAGACGATAGCTAAAGAGTAAAGTTTTTTCTCTTCTCAAAACGACGCCGTTCTCTCTTTTGTAGATTGCAGTTTTACGAAACTGCCCTCTTTTCAGTCTGGCTAACAATTTGAAGGGTGTTTAGTTTTTAAAGCCTAAATGATCCACTGCAGACTTGTACGTAATTTCTACATAGAAATAAAATAAAATAAAAAATGTGAAATGGTTTGTCTCGGTTTGTCCCTGAAAATGTTCCATGACTTGAGTTTTATCTTCTTGAGTTTCGTATTCTACTGAAAGCATTTAGATTGAGGTTAATGTTCTGACTTTACTATACATAACCCCTCGCATTTGTAAAAGTGAGTAGGAGTAACGCAACAGTATTCTGTGAAAATATTTAGGTAAAAACTTAGGTGGATAATGTGCATATGAACTATATTATATATTTAATTTCATCTACCTAATTACAACATTTAATTGATTGATTTTAATTGTATATACCATATAATAATATTGAATGAAATATAAATGAAATGATCACACTCCTACCATCTGAAACTTTTTCAATACATAAATATGCATTTGAAATTAATTAATACATACTTGGTAGCCATATATAGGGTGTTTTGAAAATAACATATTTTGAGAAAGCTTTATATGTAGCTTTACAGAAGTCATTTATCATGCTTTCCCGTGCCATGTCAATATGTTAAATTCACAATTATTTCGCATTTTATTTATAAAATGGTCAGAAATATATTTGTCAATGGATTAAAACAGTAAAATATTATCCTCTAGTACATTAATAAATCCCTATTTTTTGTTTTGGACCTAAAGATGAAGTAGTATGTATTATTTTATAGACCCATTAATTTATATATAAAAATTTGTATTATAAATAGTATTATTGTAAAGTTAATTATTAGGATTTGTCTCCTTATGATTTTGACTGTTTTATATTTGTCAAGTACAGAATATGACATTGTCTTTATTCTTTCAATCTGTCCTGTGTCTTCCTCGCACCATAATTTTACAAAAGATAAATTCAAAGAATAATACTTTGGGTACTAATGAATGGGTACTAATACGTGTACTAACTAAAGCATAGTACCCGTACTATGCATATAGTACGGGTACTATGCTTTAGTTAGTACACGTATTAGTACCCATCCGTTAGTACCCATAGCATCACTCAAATTCAAAATAGTAGTGGGAATATGAAAAACACAGCAGAGACTACATTAAGTTCCTCTTCCATAGATGGGAAGTATATGTTTTAGTTTCCTTAATTTTCTTATTCTAATTAAATTGCAACAATTATGTAAAGCGAGGTTTTACTGACAGAATTTATATATGGAACCATAATCTGTTGATACAATATAATTATAAGGACATATATATATTCAACATAGTTATTGACAATTATATATCCATCACTGATCACTTCCAGAGTCTCACCAGTAATTCTGTGCAATCTTGAAGATTTCCCCGAACAACTACAAGCAATGGATGGTGAAGAGGTTCATGTTCAAATTGTGACATATGCAATGCAAGGCCACATTAACCCTATGCTCAGGCTCGCAAAACGCCTCGTAGCAAAGGGCCTTCATGTAGTTCTTGCCACCACTGAAAATGGGCGTTAGTGCTTGCTCAATTTCAAAACCTCCGTCACCCAAGAAACCATGCCGGCTAAAAGCCCTACATTCAACCTTGAGTTTTTCTCCGATGGACTTAGTGATGAATTTGATCGCGACAAGTATCTCGACTCTTTCTTTGAGTCCCCACAAACTGTAGGGTCGAAAAATCTCTCAAATTTAATTACCGATCTCAAAGCCAAATGCAATAAAATTTCCTGTATAATTACCAACCCCTTTATGCCATGGGTGCCCGGTATTGCTGCAGAACATGATATCCCTTCTATAGTGCTCTGGATACAAGCTTGTGCAGTCTACTCCATCTATTGTCATTACTTTAAGCATCCATATCTATTTCCATCGTTAGAAAACCAAGACGACGTTGTAGAGTTGCCTAATATGCCAATGTTACTAGTAAGGGATCTTCCTTCCTTTATCCTTCCTTCTTGTCGTATTGGTTTGAGAACATTGGTTCAGATTTCGTTCAAATATTGAATAAGGTAAAAAGGCAAGGCTAACGTGGGGCCTTGTCAGCATGAGATGGTCAGAACTTGGGAAGGATCTGTGACCATCAAACGCAACCACGTTGCGTGATGGCGCAAGTGGCATGCCCCCATCAATGCAGTAGGTGAGTGACAGGCTAGCGGGTGGTTGGAAATCGTTCATGTGTCCAAACCCTGCATAAGTTGAGGAAATCCCTCGAGTAGGTGAACAAGGCGACGCAGAGAAAGATTTGTACGGTACTCACCTACTTGCAAATTTAGTAATCATTACCTTGGTTTCTCCCATTATAAATAGAGGACTCCCCTCTCATTTGCAGGATTGGTTAATTTTACTCTAAAATAGCTTGCTTTCTCTCTCTCTCTCTCTCTTGTATTCTCTCTAAACGATAGCTTACCTCGCTGAACACGACCAGGCATTTATCCTCTTGTTAATACAATAGCAGTGAACATATGATTCGCTTTTGAGCATTTGAACCACTTTAAACATTGCCTCTCACCCCTTATTTAACTTAATATTCTAATATCACGTGTGTCTTCTAAGTCCGCTTAGCATTTCGCACGTGAGAGTAGTTGGTGTCTAAAATCGAGCATCAACAAGGTCAAATGGATTCTCGGGAATTATTTCAACGAGCTAGAGGAGGATATAGCAGGGTCAATGGCTTCTCTTCGTCCAGTTATTCCTATCGGTCCATTAGTGTCACCATTTCTGCTAGGACAAAGAGAAACCGTAGTGGTTAGCATGGATTTGCGCAGTCATGAAGATTATTGCATAGAATGGCTCGACAAGAAGCCGCCTTCATCAGTTATTCACATATCATTTGGCAGCATAATCGTAATGACACAGAATCAAATTGATAGCATCGCTACGGCATTACGGAAAAGCGATCAACCATTTGTTTGGGTTATTAAGTCCCCAGAGAAAGGTTCTTCAAAGAAAAGTGGTGCATTGCCATCTGGGTTCCTGGAAGAGACAAAGGAAAGAGGTTTGGTAGTAAAATGGTGTCCTCAAGAGAAAGTATTGATGCACTAGGCTATGGCTTGCTTCATGACTCATTGTGGGTGGATTTCAACCCTAGAAACCATCGTGGCCAAGATGCTTGTCATTGCTTATCCGGAGTGGACAGATCAATCAATCGATGCAAAACTTTTGGTTGATGTTCTGAAGATCGGCGTGAGAATGAGAAATGGGGAAGACGAAGCTCTTGGAGTAAAAGAGGCGGAAAGGTGTATTATGGAGATGACTGATGAAACGACGGCAACACACATGAAAAAGAGGGCTACTGCTTTGAAGGAGGCAGCAAAGAAAGCCGTAGAGGATGGTGGTTCTTCAGATCAGAATATCAATAATTTTATCAATGAAATAAAAGGAAAATCTTTGTAGGCCACGTTGTATTAATGATTAGAAACATCAATAAATCATTCTGTTATAAAGTTTGCATGTTTTAATCAGCAACCTATCACGAAAATTATTAAAAAACCGTGTTTTCTTAAGTAAAAGGAGTATTATCACTTGCCTCCCCCGAGGTTTTCATAAATTGTCAATTGCATCCCCTGTGCTGTGGTGTTATAAGAATTAAGAAACCATTTTGGACCTCCCTACACCTCTGAATAAATTGTCGGTTACCTCCCTCCCTTTTTTTTTTTTTTTTTCTAATTGCAATTGTTGATAGAAGCTATAAAATACAATTTTGCCCTTGTAGAATAATAATCTAATGCAGTGTTATGTATTTAGGGATGGGCGTTTGCCCTAGCCCCACAGGGATCCTGCCTGATCTGGCCTAAATGGGGTGGAAAATCCCTGGAAATATGGAGGATAGGGCTGAGGATAGTCCTCAAAAAAATCCCCGCCCCCAGGGACGGGTCGGGGGAGGGAATTGTGCAATCCCTGGCCCGTCAACCCTGCCCCTGTGAAGCCCCGTCTTCTTTTATTGAGAATTTTATGTTTTTTTCTTTGTGAGATTGTATAAAAAGTTAGAGTTTAAATCATAGTTTTAAGTAATGTATCTAAATTTATAATATTTACTTTTATAATACTTTCTAATATTTGTATTAAATTATAGAAAAAATAATTTACACGAGAGAGTCTAATAATTAAATATATGTATTATTACTTTGTGAATTTCACAAAATAATAATACATGGCCCAAAAATAAATTTGATTAGATTATTACAATTTACCAAATCAATATAAGAATATAAACAATTGCTTAACGACTTACAAATTATACACATTCAATTAGACTTGTAATTAATTAATTGATCAATTAAATATGATGTTAAACATAATTAATGTTGGAAACTTGGGATAATGGGATTTGTCCCTTTCACAAATGGACTAGTTTTATTAGTCGTAGTGGAGATATGCCTGCAAACGAACCGAACACGAAAGAACACCCGGTTCGAAACTCGTTCGATAAGCACCAAGGGGTGTTAGAAATCGAACGAACACAGAATGGTTGTTTGAGTTTGTTCGATTAGCAAAACGATTTGTTCGTGATCACTCGATTAATCTTTGATTAACTCGTTCGATTAACTTGTAAATACCTGTTCGAATAACTCGTTCAAATACCTGTTCGAATAAAAAATAAACACCAACTTTCCAATTCATGCTCTAAAAAACAAATATACACCCATTTAATTTAGCATTTGAAGAAAATGTAGCTCGAGTCAAAGATAATTAAAATTGAATTTTTCTGTATTGAATGAATAAATGTACAAAAACAGAACAATCTATTCTTTTATAGACAAATACAAAACTCACTGTTTAATCACTACTTTTAGACTTTACAAAATTATAGGTTATCATATATATATATATATATAGTTATATTTGATAACCTATAATTTTGTAAAGTCTAAAAGTAGTGATTAACGGTGAGTTTTGTATTTGTCTATAAAAGAATAGATTGTTCTGTTTTTGTGTATATATATATATATATATATAGAGTGGCGGACCTAGGATTTTTGCCTCAGGGGGCCTCCGCGGTACGGCCATTGTTTGTCAAACGACTAATGAAAATTAAAAAAAATCACCAAACCTTAAGTAAAGGAAATAATACAATATCAATAATCTGAAAGAAAATAATGCAATAACACAATACTTTACTACTTTAATAAATTTATGAAAAACAAAACCTTGAGCAAATTATGTTGAAAATAACATCCAATTCAAGAGGAAACGCAAGAGTTATTTTAAATGTCGCACATATTTATATAAGAGTTATTTTATTGTTAATTAAAATAACTCTTATATACATTTACCATTACTTTTTTAAAAACAATATATTTTATTTCTTAATTTTCTTGTATCTCCTTGTGAATTGGATGTTATTTTCAACAAATTTTCTTATCTCTTTTTAAAATTTTTTACTGATTGTTTGCCAACAATGGCAAAGCTACGAGGCCTCCCTTGGGTATAAATCCTAGGTCCGTCACTGTTTGTGGTGCCATGTATATATATGTTGAATATTATATCCTTGATTGTTATACATTAAAATCATTAAGGGGAAAAAATACATAATATTTATAGACTGTTGGACAATCAGGTCAAACATGTCTCTTTATATAAATAACAAAATTTATTTGACTATCATAGAAAATAACACATTATTATATTCTTCAAAGAACAAAGAAAAATTAAATAAAAATGTATAATTAGTTATAATTCGAAAATATTAATTCTCTAAATATATAACTGTAAAAGTTCCATAACCATTGCCATTAGCACATTAAAATTTTTTATTATCATTTGTATATAATTACTGGTGTGTATTCCATTCCACAATGCATTCTGACAGCAACAAGCTGGTATCCGTCTCGAAGGCTTGGAGCTGAAGCAGAATGCTAATTAATTAGTACATCCATGAGTACCTCCTGAGTCCGTGAACTTGTTTCCTTGACCGGGACTCGGACCCGATTCCTCGATTGCTCCAAGAGACACTCCCTAAAAGAAACTTTCTCTTCTAATATTTGAACCATCCAACTTCAACATACTCAAAGATGGAGCCTCAATATTAACAGAACCAAGAGATAGAAGAAGAGAAATAATAAGCAAGAAGTTGACAGCTTTTAGTTCTCTAGCCATGGGAGAAGTTGGATACAATGGGGCTTGAACTAATTAATAATGCTATCAAGTAACGGAGAATTGATAAAAAAATGACGTGTCGGGTACCTTAACTATAGTGTTATTGAACGTAGAATATTTTTTGTTTTAAGGTTTAATGTTCAAACATGAAAGGAAGATAAAGTGAAAAGGAACAATATGGACAGGCCTCTTGGTCCAACCTAAAATTCCTTAAGATGCATAATATTTCCGACTTCTGCTGTCTAACTCTGTGTTCATGGTCTTTCGTTTCATGGAATTTCTTCTTGTAATTCGAGAGCGATGACGTTTCAAAAGGAGTTTTGGTTGAATTAACTACTTCTCCAGGTACTAGAACTGCACGTAAATTTTATGGAACTCATGCAATTTATACGCAGTTGCACACAGATTTTGAACTTGTGCCTACTAGAACCTTCCGACCCTGTATCAAAAACATTTATGGCAAAAGTCTGCTCACATTTCCTTTTGGAAGTTTCTTTGTGTTTGTTATATAATGAAAAACAATTAAGAGAGTTTGGTTTGATTATATTTTTAAGTTATTTTAGTTTTAATTTGAGCTTTATTAGTGAAAAGTGTGATTGAAAAAGAATACAAATGCATCCTTAATTATTTTCTTTTCATGATAATTGATTAAGTATATGAAAAAAGGAAATAAATATATGTATAAAATGATATTCTCCTAAAGCTTTTTTTTTTTTTTTTTTTTTCCCATAGTGGCACTGATAATCATATTTTACACTATGATTATGCATTGAATTTTGATAGGATTTAGGATACTTTCTTACATTTTGGGCCATAATTGTCACCTAATTCTATTAATTTGTCTTTGCAAGCTTAAACGATGATTTTGAGCATAAATGACAGTTTTGAGCGTAAATTGTGTAACTTGAGCTTGAAAACTCAGAATGACCTGAATTTAGTAACATTGGAAAGATAAGAAGAAGAGCTACAACTTTTATGTTTTGGGTTTTTTCTAATTCTGACTAGACAAGGGTGAAAACTTGGCTTAAAGTCGTAAAAAGTACGCTGGGAGCTGAAGAAAAAACGTCTTTGGACATGCTTCAGTATTTCTGCCATAACTTGAGCGGTAGACCTTGGATGGTGCTGATTCTTGAACGAGTAGAAATATAATTGAAAGGGCTACAATTCATATGTTTAACACCTTTCCAGATTCAGAATCTATCATACTCAAATTTTGCCCGAAAGTCCTCGTCGCGGCAAGGAAAAAGCTTTGCCGCGGCAAAACCTGCATCAACTGTAAAAATAAAACGATGCATTTTGGCTTGCTAGGGCTTCATCCTTAAGTGAGAGAGGTATAAATTAGAGCGAAAAGGAAGAGAAAAAGAGTCTTGGTTCGTCATTTGGAAGGCAGCTCTTGGAAGGAAAAGATTATTGAAGATTTGGGCTTCAAATTAGAGAAGATTTCTCCATCTTTTGCTTGTTTTTCAATGATGAGTCTTGATTCATTTTGTTTTTGTTACTTTATTTTGTTTTTGAGTATGAACTGAGTTGTTTAGCTAGGGTTTGATATAACCTTGATACAATGATTCAAATTTATATGAATTGATTTAATTTGAGTTTTAATTTCATGATTGAGTGTTTATCTCTTTGCTTAATGACTTTTGGATGTTTAACCACCATTCAAATATGTGTTGTTCACAATGAGACTGAGAAGTGATTTGTGATTGTTTCTCTTGGGATAAATACCTTAGATTGAAAAAATGCTAGAAATAGGGTTAGCGATCTATGAAATCTAGATAGAATTCCATAAAGCTTAAAAGAATTTGAACTATTAATCTTCATTTTGTTGGGTGCGGATGCTTGATAGGGATAAGTAGGGAAATGTAGCTTGAAAATGTATGTTTTACAACTTAGGGAATTCGATTTTCAATCAAGGAATTAGAACTTGGGTAATAGATTCTATTATTTGGGTTAGTGTATCTAGGTGAAATCAACACCCTAGCATTTTTTAGCATTGTTTAATTAGTTAAGTTGTTGGGTTTTGCTTTAATTTCATTATCATTCATTTATATTTTGTTAATTTGTATTTAGTTTGTTAATTTTCCATCAATCCAATTTATTGTTTCTTCAATTAGGACTTAAATTAGAGAAATCAGTACTTAGTAACACTTTCCTCGTGGGAACGATACTCACTCATCACTTTATTATTTTGTGCGACTAGTGCACTTGCTATTTTTGCATATTGTAGTAACAATGCATTAGGCACCAAAGATGATAGCCTTATAAAAACCCCCTAACTTTGTCTCATCTTCTTCTAC